TTTGGGTTCACTCTTCAGGATTACTGGTTTAGCATACTTTTTAGGGATACTGTGGAGATGCTAATGTTTTATATGTCTCTTCTAGAATCAAAATGGGCCACACCACCAGTAGAAGGTAGGTCCTAACTTCCAACTAAATTACTATAGTGTAACTCCCAGTACAATAAAAGGAGAATGTACATACCAATTAGCCTATGGGTATGAGGGAGGACAGCACAGCTCACGGTTGCTGCTAATACCTTAGTTTAGGAGTTCAAGAAATATTTTTGAAAAAAGGGTTTTTTAACTTGACTGTTGTCTGGGAGGCTCTAGCCAGCCGCAGATCAAGACATATGCAGGGACTTGCAGCATAGCATGGGGCAGAACTCTGGGGGTCCTGTGGAAGTGTTTGGGGAAAGATGGAAGAATCTGGTGGAGTCAGGAACCTTACAAAAATACCAACAGAGACAACTAACCCAGTCCCATGAGGGCTTACAGAGACTGAGACATCAACTACATGCACAATCTGGACCTAGGTCCCCTGCATACATGTGGCCAATGAGTAGCTTGGTCTTCATATGGGGTGCCTGGGGAGGGGCTGTTTTTAACATGGACTCTATTGCCTGCTTTTGGATCACTTCTCCCTGGCAGGGCTGCCTTGCCTGGCCTCAGGGGATGAAGATAGGCTCAGTCCTGATGTGACTTGATGTGCTGGAGGAGGTTGATACAGGGGGAAAGGGGCTCACCTTTTCTGGGGGGTGGGGGAAGGAAAAGAAAAGGGAAAGAAAAAGAAGGGGAAATGGGGAGGAGAGGAGGGAAGGGGCACCCTTGGGATGTAAAGTAAATAAACTGAAAAAATAAAATCCAAGTCCCACCATGCTTTCTCCTCCCAATGGGAAAAATAGGTCGTGGTGGTACACACCTTTAATGCCAGCACTGGAGAGGCAGAGGCAAGCAGGTTTCTGTGAGTTCAAGGTAAGCCTGGTCTACAGAGCAAATTCCAGAACAGCCAGGGCTACACAGAGAAACCCTGTCTCAAAACTATAACCACCCAAAAAAAACTAAAATCTGTAGGTCACTGGGACATAGAAGGATACCAAAGGTCTTTCTGAATCTGTGCCTTTCTGAAGAGTACTAACTATCCCTGAGACTGGTAGAAACTGACCCTTTTGCTGTGCAATTCCGAAGCCTTGCCTCCTGTTTGCAGATTCAAAGAGAAGACAGAGAGACGCAACTTTGACCACGTCTGAATGTTTGTGGGCTTTGGGTCCCCACAACCAACAACCTTACTTAAATTCCCAACTTTTAAATTGCTAAGGCCATGGAAACATTAATAATGACCTTTCTTCATGAAACCCCCAAATCTCTCCCACTTGTACTTCTGACCAATTTACTAACTTTGAAGCAGCAGCAGCAGCAGCATCCAGCTCAGCTTCTCAGTAGGAACGCTGAATCTTTACTCAACACCTTGGCCCAAATAACACCACAACCTACAGGAACCTTCATATCTTCACATCCGTATGTCCACCCAAACCAATTATATAACTCATCTTTTTTTTGGCTTTAATTTTGTGGGGATTTTGGTTGCCATGGGAAAGATTGTGCTCTGGTAGTTCAATCTCTTGGCTATTAGTTGTCTTCTAACACACACAGACACACAGAGAGAGAAAGCAAGAAAGAGAGAGAGAAGAGACAGACACAGAGAAAACAAATAAGCTTGCAGCTTGCAGTGCTACACAAAATATACATGAAGAGCTTTCCAAAGAGGTTAAGCAACCATTAAGCAATCAATGTATTGATGTATTGCATTGTAGCTGGTAGAACTAAACAAAGAAGCTATTTATTGCCAACAAAACAGCATTTTCAGCTGAAATGATAATAATAGCAATTAATGTTTCCTCAGAATTTAATATTTGTCAGGCTAAATGCCTTCCATGAACAATTTTATCTATGAATATAAATGTGTCATTCTAATTTTGCAGACTATAGTGAGGGTAAGGAAGGTTGAGTAACTTACATGGCGTTGATTAACAATGGAGCCAAGACTGAAACCCAGGGTGACAATTTTGCTGCATAGGAGGCCTCTCCCAGTGAATGCCTGACTACACTGTTGTCAAGCCCTGCTATCTCGGCTTTGGTTATTGATCTGTTGAAGAAACTCAAAATATCACTCAACTCATTTTGAAAAATTGAGCAATACCTAAAATACCTGGGCATCAAAATGCATACAGCCACAGGCTCCATCCATCAAAATGATCTTTTACTGTCTCCTGGCAAAAAGTGTGAGTTACACACATTGGAAATTCATTCAGTGGTAAAGAAGAATAAAGTTACGAAATTTGCAGGAAAATAGATAGATATACCTTTAGTGAGGTAACCTAAATCAACAGAGACAAATGCCGCATGGTCTCCCTTGTGTGTGAATCCTAGCTATAGATTTTTGGAGTCAAATGTTCAGCGTTGAGTTCTGATAAAGGACAGAAAGACAGAAAGAAACAATTATAGAAAGGAGTGATGATAAAAATCCATCAGATATGAAAGGGAGGGGCATAACAGAGATAGAAAGAGCTAGGCAGTGAGGGAGTTGGGAGGATATGGAAGAGGAAGGAATAGCTAAAAATACATTAAAAAGCCATATAGAAAAACACACATTATAAGGTTATTAAACATATAATCTGAAAAAAAAAGACTGGAAAGATGAATCAACAGGCACTCATTGCTCTTGCAGGAAACTTATGTCCCAGCCCAACACCCACATCAAGCAGCATACACCTACCTGTCTGTAACTCAGGTCCAGAAAAACTTACGTTCTCTTTTCACTTCTATAGGCTCATGAATACATGTAGTTCACATATACACACTCAGGTACATTCTGGCATGCACACACACACACACATGCACCTGAAGAAAAATGTTCTAAGATGAAAGGAATTTGAGTTGGGTGATAAGGCTCCTCCTGAAAGCTGTGGGTTGTTAAATAAAATTCCCAGTGCCAGGTGTAGGCCACTTCCCTACAAGATGTGTTGGTCAACAAGATCCCAAAACAATACACGTTATTGCCATGGCTCTGATGCTAACTGGAACTTGATGGTAAGGCTCTATTGCCCATACTCAGAAATGACAAGTTAGAAGCTCAGTAAGAAGCTTTATCCCAAGTAGGTAGTGCTTATTATACAAGAAGTAGGTTATACTCACTGCTGGAGGAAAATCATCAGTAGTTTTACCCTAATGACATGACAGGTAAGATGTGCCTTCTGACCCAATAGTGGCATGACTGTTATGAGGACAACCAACCATCACACACCACCACCACCAACACCAACATTGGATTTGAGGCCTATTTTATAAGAAACTTCATGCCTGCTTCTGTAAATCTGGTCAAGAGCTCATGGCTGGGGAGGTCATAGGCCATATCAGGGGACCTGCTTCCATTGTTTGGCCAAATGGTCTTGTTGTCAAATCTCCCTCTAAATATCATTTTTATAGCCATAAACTAGTACTGCTCTTAACCTTAGTCAGAGAAGCTTCTTACTATAGAAGACTGTGGTTAATGTAGATACCTATAACTGTCCAAAGTGACAAAAATAAGTGACATAATGATCATTACTAAATGAGATAGCTGTCACCTCCTCCAAGGTTCATGAAAAGTCACAGAAGAAGGGGGTGAAAATAATGTAAGGGCCAGAGAATGGGGAGATGTGCTACAAAAAGACGTCTTTCGGACATGGCCTAGCTCATGAATGTACTGCAGCTGTGGTTATCTGCATAAGACATACACAGGATTGAGAATGTCAACATTTTGTCATGGACAAGAAAGGGGCCCATGAGTATACATCCCTCTCTAAGGGACTATTGTCCATTGATGGTTGTGGGCAAGGGTGTGTCATTTTATTATATTCTATAGCCACTGATAAGTTGCCCCTGATCCTGGAAATTACCTCTTAGCCACATGCAGGCAAGAAACCCTACCTAAATTAAATAGGCTATAAGCAAGGACATGAGAGTATAAGGGGAACTTGGGAGACAGGTGTGGGTAAAAAAAAAAAAAAAAGCAGGGAATCAGACATGAAGATGAGTAAAATTAATTATGTAAGAGTATGGAAGTATCAAGAAAAAAGAATGCATGTGTGTATTATATTCGCATGCCTTATGCTCTGTTCTAAATTTATCTTTTTCTTTTCAATATAAACAGTATTGGCTAACATAATAACACTTTTATTAAATTTTTATTTATTTCTCTCTCTCTCTCTCTCTCTCTCTCTCTCTGTGTGTGTGTGTGTGTGTGTGTGTGTGTATGTGTCTCCTGTCCCCACAATGCACACATGGAGGTTGGAGGACAACTTGAAGGAAGCTCTTTCTACTGTACCATGTGGGTCCCAGACATTGAACTCGCCATCAGATGTGGTAGCAAGCGTGTTTACCTGCTAAGCCATCTTGGGAACACTAGCATCCATTTTGAGTTTTAACAGTTTTCAGTTGTGGGGTAATGAGAAGAACTACCATTCTGTTTTCCTCTGTTTTCATCAATGTCGTTCATCAGTGTTTGTTTATCAAATAAGTTTTCTTGCAGCCCAAACTCGTCTTCCAACTCAACATGAGGCCAAGGATGGCCTTGAACTTCTGACCCTCCAACCTCTGCCTTCTGAGTGTTAGGATTTCATGCATGTTCTGTTATATATTTGTGCTTTTCTATATTTGACCCATTATTGTCTCTCATCTTTGGGGAGTAATTGAGATAGGTAGAATTTTTATATTCCCCAATTGACTCCTCTGGGGATTAGAAAGTATATAGAATGCACTCCCCCCAATAAATAATATAATGTTTTAAAATGACTGAAAAAGACTAGGTGGTATCATATCGAAGCCTTAACCAGGCTGGCAATAACCATCGACTGATCCTTTATCATGTCAACATGTGCTAGTAGAGACTCCTGAGGACTTAGCGTCCCATAGTCTCCCATCTACCTTGACTCTACTATCAACAGAGAAAGGTGCACAATGTGCCTTCCCCAGACCCTGTCCTCTTATCAGAACAGCATGTCTGGCTTTCACATTGCTGCCTGCAAGATTTGGTAAGATCTTGGCTCTGGATACATGACCTCATTGGACCCTGTCTTCCTGTGTGTCACTCACCTCACTCATCTCCTGGAAAGGAACATGTTTCCCAACCTCTTCCACATCAGCACTGAGAAAGGAAATTGCAGGCTCTGAGTGGTAAGTGACCTGGACAGTGCCAAAGTCTTGGGAGGGAGGTAAGACGGAGGAGGGCTGAAGAAGCACAATGAGATGCTTTCACCCTGCCAAATTCCCATCCCTCTTTGGGCTGCAGGAGATGCCAGAAAAGGAAGCCAAGAGGAGGTGGGAGGATAAGTGGAAACAGCTCCTCCTCTTCCCTGGCACTTCCTGGCTGGTTGTCTATAAACATCTCTCTAGCACTACCCCACGCAGGGAGTCTGAGGAGATGCATGGACTTGCTCGACTGTGTGAGCCATGCCATCTATATTAGAGGCCTTGTAACTCCGAGAGAAGATGGGCAAACGTGATGAGCAGGTAGGGACAGGGTAGATTGGGCGTGTAGCCTAATGACCTTTCCAGTAACAGCCAGAGAGCTCTTGGGACAGCTTCCTAGATAAACTGGACAAGGAAGAAAACCAAACGTTCTTTCCCGTTCCTTCTCTCACCGTCACACTTCCAAGTCTCTCCCTTAGTTCTGTGAAAGAGGAACAAGGTGGCGTGCCTGTCGGGAGAGTGATCAGAACAGGAGAGCAGCTCTGCCTGGAGACTGAAGGCAAGCCAGAATGGAAAGCAGATACATTTGGGATGGTGAAATCCCACTCCATGGACTTGTGGCCGGAGCGGAGCCTGTAAGTAGATGTGAACGTGCCAATGGCTCTCCTTGCATGAGCCAGAAGTCAATGTTTGACAGACTGGGATCTGGGCCAAACTCCAGCTCAGTGGCCTCCCACAGGGGACGACTTCAAAGAAATGAGATTTAGTGAAATAGTCTGTGTCTGTTGCCAGAGGCCTGGGCTCACAGGTCAGACTCTGAGCCTGTCTTCTGGGCTCCCAACAGTCCATGCTCAGTTCCTCCCCAGGTACTCAACACCATTATTAAATGTTTTATTGATTTGCCCCGTCCACTGGGCAGAGGTAAGAGTTGATATCTTCTGGACGTTACATCCTCAGAAACAAATAAGCAAGCTCCAGATTTTCCAATATAATGGCAGCCAAACTAAAGTGGCCTTTGAACACTTGAAATGTGGCCAGTCCAAACTTATCACAAGTTTAAAATGCACAGTGGATTTCAAAAAGTAGGTATGAACAACAAAGTAAAACATATCTTTAATTATTCCATTAGTTAAATATTAAAATCACATTTTATATGTTAGGTTAAATAAAATAAACCATTAAGATGGATGTCTCTTTTTTCTCTCTTTAAAATCACTCATGTGGTTTGTATTATACTCACATTGGACTGCATTGTTCTGAGCATGCTGTAAGTGCAGATAGATGGATGGATGAATATAAAAGGCAAAAAAGAGTTTAAAAGTTGACCTAAGATCAGCATTAATATTTTTATATCAGCATGGAATGAGTGGGTCAAAATGGTTGAAAATAAATGAAGCATAGCCACTTTAGGAAGTAAATTTGTATCTGGAACTACATTTCACTCTGAGTCATTTGCTATGGAAAAAAAAATGCTTACTTTTCTTAACCAAAGCTCCTAAAGCATGAGAGGGTGACAGCCAGTTAGCCAGGCCTCACAACACAGGTCAGGCTCAGCCTTCAATCCTGTGGTAAGGATTTAGGAGAGCAGACAACCAAGACAGCACTGCAAGGCATTATCAGAAAGTAAGGAAGGAAAGAAGGAAAAAAAAAAGAACAAAGGGAAGGAAAAAGAAGGAAGGAAGGAAGGAAGGAAGGAAGGAAGGAAGGAAGGAAGGAAGGAAGGAAGGAAGGTACAAACAACTAATCTGGGAATCCCACATTCTACCAGGTTTCTTCTCATTCCAAATAAGGAAGTTTCCATTATCTGATTTTGCTTTCGATAGATTCATTAGAATTATTTTTAATGTATAACCTTCTACGGCATCAAAAATTAATTCAGAGCAATCTTCTATAGATTTTTTCAAAAGTTAAAGAGGAAGGATGGATCACTTCCAAAATCACTGTCTACGTATACCCTGATATCAAAGACAGACAGAGTGGCTACAGACAAAAATAGGAAAGAAGTACAGGTAGAAGTAGACAAGAAGACTTTAGTTCAGTGTCTCTCAGGAGCATCGTTATAAAACAAAACAGAAAGTTACTAATGAAAAATATTAGCAAACTCCATTCCACAGCAGAGTAAAGAGAAAGGGAAAGCAGGATAGTTCAAGACACTAAAGCCAGTTAAAGTAATGCATGACTTTAAAAAGACAAAAAAAAAAATCATGATCCCTACAAATCATAACAACAACAACAACAAAAAAATTCAGTCCCCTTCTTAAAGAAAACACTCAATAAACTAGGAAGCATAGGGAATCACGTCAACATAATTAAAGTTATATGTGAAAACCCTATAGGGAACATTGCAACACTGAAAAAAGAAATCTTCCTTTCAGATCACAAGCAATCTACACATGGTGCTGCCAGCCTATGAGCCTAGCACCCAGGTGGACACGCAGGGTGATTCTGAGCTTAAGGTAGCCTGACACGCACACCAAGTATGAATCTAGACTGAGAAACGAAGCAAAGGCCTATTTTAAAAACAAAAACAAACAGAAAATGAATAAAAAATAAAAATAAAAACTACCAGATCAGCAACAAGCACTCCAGCCTAGGAAGCAGGCAACATAACTGGAGATCTTTATCTCTCCCTCTTGTCTAAATCCAATACCAGTCTTTTCTCCACCTCTGCAGGAGACCAAATACTGTGGCCTCCTCTTCCTCTCTGACCCCACCTCTAGTAGAGCACACAGATCTTCCCCTCCCAACATTGTTTCCCCCACTTACCACTTTAATCAGAGCCCTAACACCAGCAACCATTCCCTGGGAATCCTCAGGATACTCTAGCCAGAGCAGCAGATTGCCTAGCTGCAGATCCAGTCCCCTACTCTCACACCCCAGGTCTGTAGCAGACCACTGCTGTAGCATCATCTTCTCTCTGCCCCCATCTGTCGTGGATAACAGAGATCTTCCCTTCCAACATTCCTCCGAGGTCATCCTGTTATCACAGACCCCAACTCCAGCAGGTAATCCCTGGGGACCTGCCAGCTAAGCATGCCAGAGAAGCAAGGAAGCCAGCACAGCAGATAGGTCAGCTTCATGATATTTTCACTCTTCCTTCTCTTCTCCATATCCAAGGCCCTAGTCTCACCCACAGCTCTGAGAGAGTCTTGTCAAAGCCCATCCGCATTACCAACTGCCAACCCTCAATACCTAGAAACACATTTGACACAAAACATCCAGTGGCCTAACCTAGCAGGAACCCAGAAGATTTCCCCAACAGAAAACACAAAGCAACCCTACCCTACTAAGAATCAAGGAAGGTAACAGAAACCAAGAAACAAAACACCCGCCCAACAAAGATAAGACCAAATATCAGCACCTAGAATTGCAATATTTCTAATTCAAGATGCTGAAACAAGAGCATATATACAGTCAATACAGCACATAAAATATGTCTCCACTAGAGCCCGGCAACAGTACCACAGCAGGCCCTGAAATCTGCAAGATAGTTGAGTCACAAGAAAAAGACCGTAAAATAGCTCTTATGGATATGATAGAGGTCCTTAAAGAGGACATGTATAAAACTCTTAAAGAAATCTATGAAAACAAAAACAAGCAGTAGAAGAAAATGGATAAAACAATTCAGGACCTGAAAGTGGATATAGAATCAATAAGAAAACCCAAACTGAGGAAAATGTGAAAATAAAAAATTTAGGAACTTAAACAGGAAACTCAAAGGCAAGCCTCACGAACACTGGAATACAAGCACTGGAAGAGAGAATTTTGAGCACTGAAGACACAACAAAAGAAATAGATACTCCAGTGAAATAAATTTTTAAATCAAAAAACAAAATAAAGCTCTAGCACAAAACATCCAGGAAATCAAATAATTCAGAAATAAATAATCCCAGAGCAGAAAATCAAGAGGAAATAGGGAAAGGGGGAACACACACACAGCAAAATAATAGGAATCAACAAACAGCTTATTGATATCTCTCAACATCTCAACAAGGGTCTCAATTCACCAATAAAAAGACACAGACTAACAGATGGATATGAAAACGGGATCCAGAGGATGGATATTACCTCAGGGTAAAGGGATGGAAAGAGATATTCCTAAGAAGCCAGCTGGTGCAGCTATTTTAATATCTGGCAAAAATAGATACAGTGAAGGACACTACATACTCATCAAAGGAAAAAAACTCTCCAACAGGACATTTCAATTATTAACACCTATGAAACTAACAAAAGGACACCCAAGTTCATGAAAGAAACTACTACAGCTTAAATCACGTATGGACTCTTACGCAGTGATGATGGGAGACTACAGTACCCCACTCTCGTCAATAGACAAGTCAACTAGACAACTAAACAATAAAATGTGAGAGGCGCTAACTGGCTTTAAACAAATATTTATACAACAGTTCTCCCAAACACAAAAGAATATACCTTCTTCACAGCACCACACAGAACCTTCTCCAAAACTGACCATATTCTTTTACATAAAGAAAGTCTCAATACATACAAGGAAATTGAAATAACCTCTGCATCCTATCTGACCACAAGGAATTAAAGCTCAATATCAACAATAGAGAGCTTACAAACTTGTGGAAACTGAACAACTCACTACTGAATGAAAATGACTCAAGACAGAAATGAGGAAAGAAGTTAAAGACTTTTTTAAACTTGAAAGATGAATACACAACATACTCAAACTTACAGGACACAACAAAGGCAATTCTAAGAAGCAAGTTCATAGCATTGAATGCCTACATAAGAATTTTAAAAATTAAAACAGCACACCTGAAAGTTCTAGAACAAAAAAGAAGAGAGCACATCCAAAAGGAGCAGATAGAAAGAAATAATCAAATGTGGGCTGAAATCAATAAAATGGAGACAAACAAACAAAACACCAAGAATCAATGAAACAAAGAGTTGGTTCTTTGAAAAAAGTCAATAAACTTGACAAACCCTTAGCCAAATTAATTAAAGAGTAGAGGAAAAAAAGATCCAAATTAACAAAATTAGAGGAGAAAATAGGAACATATAGGCATAGGATATATTAAAAACCTGGGTTCCACCAAATTGGAAAATCTAAAAGAAATGGGTGCTTTTCTTGATACATACTACTTAGTAGAATTAAATCAAAATCAAATAAGCAGATCAATATCCCCCAGTAAACTAGAACAAATAAAAAAAAAAAGTCCTCAACAAAAAAGAATGCAGGGCCATATGGTTTTAATGCAGAATTCTACTGGGCTTTCAAAGAACAGTTAATGCCAATACACCTCAAATTACTCTACAAAAAAGAAACAAAAGAAACCTTGCCCAGTTCATTTCACAAAGCCACAGCTACCCTGATACCCAAATCACATAAGAAAGAGAATTACAGACCAATTTTGCTAAAGAGATGAATAGATGAAGAAACTGTGGTACATTTACACAATGGAATACTTAGCCATTAAAAAAATAAAACAATGAAATTTGCAGGTAAATGGATAGAACTAAAAAACATCATCCTCTGTGAGTTAAATCAGACCCAGAATGACAGTTATCATATGTATCTGCTTACATGTCTAGATTAACTTTTAAGACAATGATAACTAAGCTATAATCTGTAGAACCACAGAGGTTAGGGAGAGAATAAGAGACT